GTGATAAAAAGAACAGCAAAAAGAAAATAAATTGCTACTCTAACAGTAGTCCAATGAAATTTCAGGACACAAGGCAGTATGGGGTCCACATTGGGACCGCTGCATAGCTCCACCAGCTTTGGTTAATGGTTGGGAAGCTCAGCTCAGGCCTCACCAAAACGTAACCTCCTAGCAGCCCAACTCTTCAATGGATGGACTCATCTTTTGAAAACAAAACAACAACAACAAGAAAAATCACTGAAGGTTTGACCCATGGTTAACTAGACACATGATTCACAAATGAAAGTCAGGAGATCTAAGGTTAGAAATTGAAGCATGGAAACTATAATCCTAGGACCTATCCTGCAGCCTCTATGTAGACCAGTGTTTTTCTCTGTAGTTGAGAAATAAAGAATAAATGCCTGATAGTGGGATGAGACTATATGCAGGCCAAACTCCCTTAGAATTCAGTATGAATTTTGCCTGTAAAGAAGTGCAAGATTATGGGCCCTATCGTACATTTTCCCCTCATTTAACACTTTGTCCATTTTAGCTATTAATTGCTCACAATTTAGTACTGTTTTCAACTGGGCTGAACAGATCAGTGTCGCCCACTGATGTGCTCAAGCCCAAATATGTTGTTGGCTCATTTTGAACTTTCAGTCACTTGAGCTCAATGGGCTGATCCACAATTAACTGTTATTTTTAGAGCACTGGGGCTGTACAAAGTCATGTAATTACAAGACACTGTGGCATGTGGCATTTTTCTAAGAATATGCTTTGCAAATATTTGTTTACCCATGTTTTTAAAGTCCTGAGGTTTGAAATACAAAGAACAAGCTACAAAGTGAGTTTATGCCACATTCATGCAAGGCTCTTAGTCCTCCTTCAGTTACGCCTACGTTTCCGCCCCCGCCCAGACACACTCATAGTACAGTAACTTACTCCTGGGGGAATTCTGCACCAAAAAATTAAATTCTGCACATAATATTTTAAAATTCTGCATATTTTATTTGTCAAAATAACACTACCTAATCACGCCAGTTTCAATTATTTTGGTAATTTATTTCAAAATACCTGTCAGCAACTATGTCTGTAACAATACAGACACACACAAAATTCCCCCAGGAGTAGAGTTAAACCCCTATGGCAACCCAGTTCTGTTTCTCTGCCTCTTTGTCCCCCACCACCAGAGCCCAGCCGATGGGCCAGACACACATACACCCTATACCCCAGAGCCCAGCCATGGGGCCCCCCAGCCCAGACACTTACACCTCCTACCTCCCAGAGCCCAGGGATCCAGAGGGAGAAACAGCCTGATGCTGGGTCCCAGGCTTATGCTTTCCTGCAGAACACCTCCTTCCTTCAGGACGTTCCAGAAACTGCGGCTACCCGGAACCCTCCAGCTCCATTTCCCTCCCCACGACAATGTCTTCTATTTATGAGCTGGGCTCTGCCGGGTCCAGCAGCCTCTAGTGGTGACCAGCAGCACTGCGCAGAACATTAATTTCTGCACAAATTCTGCATTGTGCAGTGGTGCAGAATTCCCCCAGGAGTATGCAATATCACTAGTCACCTGATGCTGGATCCTCTCCCTCTTCCCTTTGGAGCTATGTGACAGAATGAGTCTATTCTATTTTGTCAATTCATCTAAAGTTTGACTATGTTGCCTTAATGTGGTACTCGTGCATGTGAAAGTCCTTCACTGAAAGCCTCAAAAAATGAAGTCCTCCGTCCACAGAATACATACAGCATAGGGAGGGCAGACTTCCCACACATGGCCCTCCTATTATACTTCAAACCTGACACAGAGGGACCATGTGTAGGGACAAGAAGCCTGTTCCTATCTGTGAGATTGTGCAGTAGGGCCAGTACAAGGCTGTGCACCCACTTAAGTAAATGGGACTTAAGTGGTGCAAGGACTTTGTGCTGGCCCTTCTACTGAGTGGTGAATTTCACTCTATCTATAGCCATTAAATCTTACACTTCTCTTGTGAAGCTATTAACAAAGGATGTCAATTACAGCCCATTAGGGTGGCAATCTTTTGTGATGAGGGCACCTATCCACTGAGCACTGGACTGAAACCTCTAAATTCGGTTTGTGTAGGCCACTGGACATCCATTAGACAGCAACAAAGTTTGGTCCCCTCTGGATTTGAACCAGCAAGATAAAAGTGAAGTAAAACTATTTTTACAATCATTTATCAAACCAAGAGATTCACCAGAAAACACGGCATCTGCTAGCAACTCCATCAAAGAAGAAAGAAAAGAGCAGACCAAATACACTGGTATATTTTTGTATAGCAGATACTACAGGCCAGACCCTCACCTGGTGTAAATCAATGCATCTCCATCAGGCTTTATAAATACAAGGCAATCTCTGTGCCGAACGTATAACAAGAAAACTTTCTTGAGAATGGCATGATTGTATTAGCTATGGGAATATCACTCTCGTGGATTATGATGCTATCTAAACCCAATAGTAAAGTTATCGCTCTTAATACCAGAGGGCTCAATCCTGCTTCTGTTTCCATTGATGGCAGCATTCGCACCAACTCTGAGAGCAGTACCAGGTACAATACTAGCTAACAGATAAGTAGGCTGGAAAATTCTGAAAGCTGCACTTTAGCATTCTGTAGGTGAAGGCAGCAAACTAGCCAATGGGTTTCTCTGATTATTAGAACATGCAGTTATAATAAAAACATGCAGTTGGACAAACTAAATATTTAAAGTTGCATACACTGAAAGAATTACAACCATATCTAGCCAAAGCCGGATTGCTGCAGGGGCTCTCTCAGCGGTTTAGTCTGGTGTTTGAATTGCGCAGACTCCCTGGAGCTACAAGTACCTGTAGCCCTTCATCTTACAAAGGTAGCTAAACTGAATACCAAACAGATTACTGTGGCTTTGTGTGCATGTGCGTGTCGTCTTTTGGCTGAGCCCTTAACACCTGCAATCCTTTAGGATATGCCTGGACAGTAATAAACATCCAATGGCATTTTTCATAAGAGAATGAGGTTTGTTCTGCTGTCCTTGGCCAAAACTTTCTATTCCTCCAATTATCAGGACTTCTGAGTTGTATGTTGTAAGTCACTGATCAGCAGAGGACTGGAGAGAAAGGATAAGAGTACGCTCATACTCCCCTGACAACAGTCTGGGGACCTCCTGGGCGATTCTGACCCACAGCTTGAGAACCGCTGCTCCAAACCATGATCTGGCTTCCTATCCTGCTACCTTCCAGGCAGTAGAGAGAATTTTTTTCCTTCTTATGGATAAGAATGTAACTGTAACTTAATGAGGGAGGAGGGTCAAAGAAATAAAAGAAATATTTCAGTGGAGACCCCCAAATCAGCTTGTTGTTAATACCTCCCCCTCCACCCACTGTCTCTTGCTGCTATCATTTCCCTGAAATATATACAATCTGCATGCTAACAGTAAAGTGTCCGCTGGAATACTCTTGAACCATGTGCTGCACTTAAATCCAGTCCAAAAAGCAGCGGAATATTCTGCCTTTTTTACGTGCTAAGAACAGAAGAGGCCAATGTACTGATGGAAATTTTGTGTGTGTGAAAAACGTCATCTGCTTAGTTCAACACTGGCTGCAAGAAGTGCTGAACTTATTCAAACATTGACTTTTCGGGCTCCCTCCACAAGAGGGATTGGGAAAGAATTCTAACGCTTTACAGAATACTTGATCAAGACGTAGAAAGGAAGGGGGGAGCATTAGGAGCTGCCAGCTGGGTTCACTGCTTGCAAAGGTTAGAAAACCCGTACTTCACCAAATTTGCAAGGCGGTATTCCTCTGTTCTTTTCATACGGGATGACCTTTGGCAATGGGACTATTAAATGGCAAGAAGATTTCAATGGATGCACAGCAGACCCCAGACACAATAGACAAAACTTTCTTCTCCCCACGGCCCTTTTCTAAAAGCTTTTCAAGAGTTTATTATTTTCCCTTTGCAGCATGTTTGTTCTTATGGAGAGTGCACTTTCCATTTAGCAACATTGATTGTACATCACTTGTATCAAGTGTTATTACAAAAATTGGTAAGTTTGTGTTCTCTGCTACACGTAGAATTGAGATTTAATTAGGAAACTAATGTATGCTAATAAATACAAGATTATTGGATGCCTGCACTTTACTCCTTTTGCATAATAGATATTGTATCTTTAGATTGTTGACAATACTTTATAAATGTATTAAAATCACTTGGTACTAATTTTGTGTACTGTATAGCGATTCTTTTCATAATCAACAAGTATTTAAAACATTTACTGCCTTGTTAAACCTAATGAGTTAACCTCACTTTCCTTAATAGCTAACTCGGTTTTACAAAATGTATTAACTGGGGTATAAATATATACTAGGCAGCTATTAAACCTGAATAAATACTGTATACTTAAAAGTCAGCTGCCATTTTCTCTCAATGGCAGCACTTCCTCTCAGTTGCCAACAGGAAGCGCTGTGGTTGAATAAGCCAATTCAGCACGCACATGGAGACTAAGTGAGCAGCAGCTGAAATTGGAGACCTGAAATTGAGATGCTTTTTCGCTCTGGATATCACAGTGAGAAGAACTCAGGATATCCTTACTCACATTGAGTAGTCCCTTCCCCCACAAGTAGCCTCAATGATTTCAGTGGGACTAATCATGGTATAATGTAGCATTCAGTGATATCATGATCTGCCTCGCTGGAAAATATTCAGCTTGTTTGGACTGCATACCTGCAACCACCTTTGACTGGAAAGCCATCTGGGCTAGCTGGAAGTCCATCCACATTATAACCCGAAAACAAAAGTGTCTTACAGCAGTGCCATTGTAACCCACTGTCACCTGATCTACAGAGGACAGAACTCTGCTACAGCTTCCAGCTAGGAGACTTAGTCCTTTAGCTCAAGCTGTGGTTTAGCTGTGCAGGTCCCAGGACGAACATGATTATGCTATGGGGAAGAAAAACCCAAAACTCTGCAAGTAAATACAGGCTGTGTTTGTTGGATGGGCTGCAAAGTTGATACACTCACCTGGATGGGATTGTACAGTTCCTGGAGCGGGCTTCTTGACCCCTTCCGACAACAGATGTCCATTCCAAATGGATTTCTACGTATTACTACAGGGTAAAATGGAAATTAATACAGGTTAACAAAGGCTGAATTAAAAAAACCAAACAAACAGAACACAGAATACATATATTGAGGAGAGGGATTTCCAGAAATACCAGGGAATTCCAGAAATGTGTTTCTTAAAACATCCATTTCACCTGCCCTAGCAAAGATTTAAGAGCAGAGTGCATTTGGAATATTCTGGGCTTGGAGCCACAAAAATGGGGTTCATCCCTTTCCCTCCCCATCAAATAAAAGTGTTGCCAACATTTTTCATACCGGGGTGCCTAAAGTTAGGCTCTTAAAACCATATTTAGGCCTCTAAACAAAAGTGGCCTGATTATAAGCACCCGTTGTCTCCCATTGTTTCCAGAGGGCCAAATTACTCACTGTGCCCAGCATGTCTGAAAATCAGGCCATTTCCAGTTAGATGCCCGATGATGGATTTAGCATAGCCTCCTAACAATAAGCACCTGGATTTGAAGTTTTTGGCCTATGGCTTCAGTTGCTTGCCACCACAGACAGACAGTAGCACATGTGACATGAACACTGGCTCAATCGGAATTTTTTTTTTTTTTTTTTTTGCACTGAATACTGCTGTATCTTAGATAAGAGATCCAACTACTTGACCTCTTCTCCTGGACTGTGGCAGTCGAACAACCCAAATCAATAATGCTATGTTTGTCCAGTTGCACACAGGCAGGTTTTCAAAAGGTCTGATCTAGGAGTTTCTTACTATAGTTAATTGCAGTCATTTTAGTACTGTACTACAAGAGCTTCCAGGGAAGGTTCTTAACTTGGGCCCTGATCCTGCACGCAGACATACACACAGGGCTGCCCAGAAGGGGGGAGGGGGGCAAGTGAGGCAATTTGCCCCAGGCCCCGCAGGGGCACCGCGAGCCCTGGCCCGGCAGCGGTCCAGGTCTTCGGCGGCAGGGGCCCCGCGAGCCCTGGCCCGGTGGTGGTCTGGGTCTTTGGCGGCATTTCAGCGGCGGGGGGCCCTTCAGTACTGCCGAAGACGCGGAGCGACTGAAGGGCCCCCCGCCGCCGAAATGCCGCCAAAGACCCGGACTGCCGCCGGGTGAATACAAGCGCCGCAGCTCCCCCGCTTTGCCTCAGACCCCCTGAATCCTCTGGGCAGCCCTGCATACACAGGCAGACTCTTGCACCCATGCAGACCCCAATATCAATAAGGGTCCAACCCATGTGGAATTGATTGTTGGATTGGGGCCTCATCCTGTACATGCAAAAATCAGATTAAAATGTGCCTTAATTGGAAGAGGAGACTCCTGGGAGTCCAATAGCATTAACTAGAGTCAGACAAAGTATTAATATAGTTATGTACACCGTTTACATAAAAGGACTACAGTTTCTTTCAGAAACATCTCAAACCAGCACATCTTACAATAATACTATTCTGCAGCCTTTGGGAAATAGTTATAGAATACAGTGGTGCATTTTTTCAGTGAATGGAGGTAGAGCTAGTACTTAATGCATAATCATAATTAATATTTCAAGTAGTATGAACAATGGAAGAGTCTCTACAGAGGTGGCATAGAACATCCAATTTCAGTCTTGAAAGAAAATAGATTCCCTTGTCCACTTGGTATTTATTTTAAAATTAAAAGGTAATTATCTAATAAAGTGACACGCTGCCTTTCCTGTGAACACAGAAAGACACTATGGGTTTTGTAATGAGATTCAGATGTACGTGTCTAGTAAACAAAAACATGCTAAATGTTTTGATTTGTCTTCACAATTAAAATATTGGATGTTACTACAGGCTATAATTTTAATTTACATATTTAAATACCTGACTAACTAACTTCCAGACACTTTTAGTCATGCAGCTAAATATTTTAATTGCTACATTTTTGTGCTATGTTTATTTTACAAAGTAAGTTAAAATTGTTAGCTTTAAAAACAAAATTCCCTTGTGTGATAACACCATAGATGATTAACCCTGAAAGCATTTTTAGAATATGCCTTTTCACCATTTCTTCTATTTGTAATTTGCATTTCCTTCAGTTTGGCCTTTTGAAAATAGATTGGTCTGTCTCAGTTTTGTTTTTAGCCAGTGTCTGTTCAGTTTCATTCTCTGGCTTTCTTGCACTAGCAAAGTGCTTCAATGTTTGCATTGCATACCCTGCAGGGGAAGGTTTAAAAACCCCTTAAAGTTTTTAATGAAATTAAAAATTAAAAACATTTCTAGCAGCTTTTGTAAAACTTTGTGGCATTGAATAGCAAAGAAACCTAGATGCATCACGAACATGAATGATGGATTGCCTAGATTCACAGACCCACTGTACACAAACATTTAGGGGAAAATCCTGTCCTTGCTCCTCTGTGGTATAGCTGGGTGAAGGAGAAAAGTGAAGAGACAGAACCAATCTGTTGCCTGGAAGCCACCCAGCATGTAAATTTAAAAAAGAAACATCTTTCCCTCTCCCCCGCCAAATATGGCAGCATTTAAACTATGCTGCTTTCATCATTTTGGTATCCTTCCTCACCCACCATCCCCTTTCTTTTCAGTCGTCATGACTGTAGCGTCCCTCCCTGACCAGTAAAATCCCTGTGCTGAAGCTCAGCTTAGCAAATCCTTTGTAAATCACTTTTGCAGCTAAGCTCCCTCATCTGCCCAGGACCTCTTCCCAAAACAGAGCCAATACAATGCACAGCCTTCACACATACCCTCCCTAAGCTACTTTCATATACAGGAGCAGAGGGGAAGGGAATGTTTCAATGTATCCAAGTGATCAGATTTTGATTAACCGGCAGTTCAGACACAGATTCCTTGTTCCGAACCGTTCATTCGCACTGGACAGAAAAAAAGTGCAGTGTGCTGTTCCTTAATTTACTATATCATTTTTCATTTCCATTAATTATGGTTAACAGTAAAACACATACAAGTCGCCCTCCCTGGTTCACTTAACAGGCAGATCTTAACACAGCAACGCCTTATATGAAGCAGCAACTGTCATAAAGCTTAAAAAAATTATTCACACATCATACAAGATTTGATTCCCAGATGCATACAAGCAACCACAAAAAACTTCGCTCCCAAGCAACAGCTAAATGCCAGTGGGGCTTCAGCCATTGAAACCATTAAATCTTTATTTTGTGAGTCCCACTATTATTTAATTGATTTATTTTTCCAATAAAGTCTTTAAACCAAGATTTAGGAATTAGCACAGCAACCTGGCATCTTAAACACAGGGCTTAACTCCCTGTTTGTCAGTTTCAGTAACAGGACGTGCTTATGCTGAGCAGGATTATATACATCTGTTTGTGCGCACCTTGGAAATACCTGGTTGGGATTGGTCTTTCACATCCGAATAAACAATTCGCTTCAAAAAATATTTCCCTTACCAAAAACAGAACACATACTTTTCGTAGACATGTCCCTCCCAACTTTGATAGGCTACTTTGGGACTAAAATAAGTGATGCCCCTCCAAATTGGTGCCCCTTTCAATTTTCTTGTTGAAAATTATTGACATCAGAACTAAAGAACGACAAAACTGAGCTTATAGAAAGAGTCCTTGACACCAGAAGAAGAAATCCCACTGGATTTTAAGTTTCCTACATTAATTTTGTGTGTCCCTGTGACCCTATGAGCCTCCTAATGCCAGAGGCTCACTGGTATCACGTAATGAGTTTCCACTGGCCTGACCAGTTCAATATACCCCAATTCATTGATGTTAAAATTTGTATCTAACATATAATTGGAAAACTAATAACTCACTGATTATTAATATCATTGTGCGATGTGTGTATGGGGTGTGCATTAAGCGTTCTGGATATATGCTGGAATTATGACTAAAGTGTATTTAAACCAGCATGTCAGGGGGAATTGGCAATCAGGTCTGCCCTAGATAAAGGAATGCGTTTTGCTTCTCTGACTCATGCAGAGACAAAGAAAGGTCTATTTACATATCAGGTCAACAAAGCTATCAAGCTAACAAGCATGGGAGGAGACAGTTTGGTGTCTACACTGCAGCAGGGAAGATAAACTTTATCTAGGCTATAAAGACAGGGGATCTGAACCTCAAGTGATAAACAACTGAATCATCTGATTGTATACAATATTCCTGTATTATAAAAGTATAACAAACGTGATATTTTATATCATTGTGAATTGTATGTATTAACACTACATAAGGAATTATGGATTGTGGTGGGGCGCCTGCCCCACACAGGGAGAAGAAGGGGTTAAAAGCAGCACCAGAGAGGCTGCGCAGAACTCATAAATCAGGAAAGGGCTTATTGAGCCCACCAATAGGGGGAAGGCTTGCTGGAGCAGCCAATCAGGGCCAGAGAGGGCCATATATAAAGGGCTGCTCAGCAGCGCAGAAGGGAATCTCCCACTAGAAGGCAAGCCAAAATGGCTGTCTGTCGGATTATATCTGAAAGTTCAATGGCCTTGGTTGGGATTGCACCCCTGAAGTGTGACAGTACCTCTTAGTTTAGGTTTTTGTCACACATTTGGTCCCACATTTGGACAGTGGCAAAATGGGAGATGCTCTTCTAGCTACAAATATATTTTAAAATGTTTCTTTTTCCACAAGAGGTGTATTTGTACCAAAAGCACAGCAAGAAATTGGAAATACAAACATGGTTTACCCCAAGTTTACCTATTCACTCCCAAAGCAATCACCCCATCTATTAAAGGCCAAGTTCATCCCTGCTGTAGTTGGCACAATATGATCAAATACACATATCTACTACTGTGTATAACATTATAATTTCCTTGAGGCAACATTTCTTATGATGTGTCTCAATCTCTTCAGGCCTAGTTTCATTTACACTATGGCCTCTTTACACAGCTCTGGCAGTTCAAAGGGCACTTAAATTGGGTTTAAATTTCTGTTACACCGATTTTAAGACCCCTTTACAGTCGCAGTAGTGTAAAGAGGCCTTCCTGTAAATGAAAATAAGGCCCTTAATCTTTATCAGGTGTTTTGTTGATTTACTAGATATCTTTCTATAAACTGCATTACCTACAGCTGG